GAGAGAGAGAGAGAGAGAGAGAGAGAGAGACCACCCAGGATATTTCTCCTCATCTCACCAGAGGAGACCGGTCGTCCTCTCCTCTCCTCCCCCGGACATGTGGTGCACTGGGCGGCAGCAGCAGTTGTAGCAGCAGCAGCAGCTCAGTGGTGGAGGAGGTGGTGCAGCCTCTGCGCGTCCTCCGGGTGTCTCCTTTTGTCTTTTAACTCCTCTTCTGTGTCCGTCGGTAATGAGCTTGCTGGGGGCCTACAAGAAAAAGACCAGTTACGATGGCTATGAATCTTTGCAGTTGGTCGATAGCGCCGGGGAGAGCTTCAGTGTCGGCAGCGGCGCAGGCGGAGGAGGAGGAGGAGGAGGAGGCAGCAGCAGCAGCGGCGGCGGCGGCGCACTCGGAGGCTCCATAGCGGCCACACTTGGACCGAAGGCGGGCCCGCTGAGAGAGGAGGACTGCAGCACCATGGACAGCTCAGGTAAGAGTCTTTGATGGTGGGCTGACGTGGAGAAGCTGCTGCAGGTCTGTGAGGAGACTTCACACCGAGCCTGTGTTTCTGCAGAGGGCTGACAGTAATGAAAGTGTGCAACCATGCTACCCCCCCTCTGGAGCCTCCAGCCATGATCCCAGCTTAAATGCAACTACTATTGGCCACTTGCACATGAAGATATGTCCCATGTGACTGGTTCTGTGCTGTTATAATATGAGTTGATAACAATCGTAATGCATATGACATAGTTAATCCTATAAAGTGTTATAAAGTGTTGGAGATGCACAGTGAACGTTGTGCAATGACAATAAAGACATTATTTTATATTCAGACCATAGATTGTACATAATCTATATCAGACTGTATGTTTCAGATCTTTGACATTCATTGTGTATATTTAGAATGGTCATACATATATTTTAGATTATTTGCACACATATAGTATAGTGTATGCAGCACTACTCCCTGTCCATAGTATGTAAATGATGACACAAATTGTCCCAAATGTTTTTCACATTTTTAAAGGTTTATTCAATTTATTAACCACATGGAGAGCCTATTAACATTTTGATATATGTTTTAAACATGAAATACTATCCACAGTTATAATAGCATGAATCTAATGACAAATTCTTGACATGCTCTGTCGGATCCAGTCACAACAACTGCAGGTGAGGCTTGTGCCCGCCTCTGCCCTGTATTCACCTCGCTGCAGTGCTCTTTGGAGTCAGCAGGCCTCCAGGGGATGAACGTTTGTGTGAAACAAAAGGAGGTGGAGGAAGAGGGTGGGGGGGGTCAGTGAAGGGAAGGAGGATTGGGATTGGGGATGGCGGTGGAGAAGGGGGGCGGGGTCCAGTGTCAGATGTCTCTGTGTGGCGGGTTTGGATGCTCCCTTTTGATGCATGTGTGCCTGTTTCCCTCCATCTGTATGTGCCTCAGTGATTTCCATCTGTCCCATTCACAAAAACCTGGATTTGAGGGGTAAAGGTTTGCACTCTACAAGGAGGGAGACGCATTCAAAGAAAGTATTGATCTCTCTGGCAAATCTGAGAGCTAGTGCTGTGCCGAGTGCTGCTAATGTACTGCTCTGTGTTTCTGAGAGAGGCCGGCCTCTCTGCAGCTTCATTACCTGACAGATTTCTGTATCACAGCCTATATCAGAGCCTCCCCTGCATGGTTTCTGTATATTTTTTGTCACCGTAGCCGACTCACCAGCCTGCACACCCCCACATCCATCTGGTTACTGACACAGAGGCCCGTCAACCCAGGGAAGCGAGCAAGAAGATTCACACAGAGGAAAAGATAAAACAGAACGGAGACAGACAAAGGAAGTTTATTCATGCAGGTGTAGAAGTATAGCTTCATATAGGACAGGAAACATTAGAAGAAAGATCAAATCAGATGGACACAGTGGACACAGATGATCTTTGGACAAGATTGATTATGTTGAACACATGACCTGTAGTTTAAGTAAACAAGATAGAAGTCAGCTATTTAAAATTGTTATTGTTCTTTCTATCCAAACAAGAATTAGGTCCAACGTTAGAAAGACCAGTGGACGCTAACATCAGCATTGAAACTCCTCCAAATGTAGGCGAGATGACTCTGAGAGGTCGAAAGATGTTTATTGGAAGAAAAAATTATGTTTTATATGCAACATTTCTCAAATTTCATATTTTTTGGAATAATTGAAAATCCTTGAAATGTCTGCTGTAAAGAAAATATTGATGAGGGCTGACCTGACCTGACCTGACCTGACTCCACTGTTACATTTGTTAAATATTTTATTTGTTGCCAAAGTTCAACAACAACACAAATTTATGACCTGAATAACAGAGCTGTGATCAGATATTCATGAGCTGCAGGCACACATCTCAAGGAGAGCTGATATATTGATGCATGGGATTTGAATTATAGATGACAAATATCAGACTCATTCGAATCCATGTTAAAAGCAGATATACTGTAAGTTTCGATATTTTAGACCCAGCATCATTCACGTTGTATGGTTGGATATTTAGGAGAAATATTTGGTGCTGTAGGAGGAGGCCGACATCTCTGGACAACCGTCTGTGTCCGTCCTATGACTCCCTCTGTCTGTCCCTCCCACTGTTTCCCCTTGGTGATTCCATAGACTGCATATACCGCAACCAGCCACCAGGGGGGCCATCAAGATGATTTGGCTTCACTTTTCGAGAGCTGTCAAATCGTCCATCTTTATACACAGTCTGTGATCTTGTTATGCAAGCTATAGTCGACTCTGTGAAAGCGGTGGCTGTGGTCCTGGTCCTGTTTTCGTGGTACAGCTCTCTCTCTCTCTCTTTTCTGATTACTTTGAATGACTTCTTTTTCCGTCATCATCGCAGCTGCCTCTCTACCTGTGCAGGTATAGAACATGATTGGCGGATCCAGGCTGAGCTGACATAAGCTCTTGATTTCAAGGTAGAGCAGGATGTAGGATTTTTGTTAAAACATCCTGTCATGCTCCCTGACAGGGAAATCTACATAGTAGTGAAGTTAAAAATAGACTGAACCTTACTGGTGAAATTACAGGAAAGAGGAGCATTTCAGTTTGTATTTTCCACTACAGACATGCTCACTCTGGTTACTGTGTTGATGGAATAGTTTGATGTTTGGGGAATATGCTCACTTGCTTTCTTGCAAACACTTTCCTGTCTGCATCTTATGAGACTACCACCAAATATATCCCAAACTTTTCTTTAAATAGAGTTTGAATATTACTGACATAACAGTGGCCCTGTGTGTCAGCTATGTGGCGAGTCAGAGAGAGAGAGACCGGCCAGAGCTGCTCCTTATATAGTCCAGGGAACAAGAAGTTGCACTGTCTTACTGTGTGTTGGTTTTTGAGTAAACCTGCAGACAGAGAGACAGACAAGGACACGACGATGAAAACATCTCGCAGAGATAATTTGAGGTTCAGTCATCCAGCTAAAGGGTCAACAGGAGTATTTTTAATTGTTAAAAACATGAAGCATATTGTTCAGAATTTTTTGCATGTTATCCTCCTTTGTTTGGGTTTAGGTCGTACTTGTAAACAGAAATGTCAGGCTGTTGTCGAGCCCCCATCACAAAGTACAGAACGCCTGTTGGGTTTGGGTCAAGCTCGGGGACGGATTCTAACTGAGGCCTGAGCCACACACACATAAATTCACTTCAGGAAGCTGAGGATCGTGTATCTGCAGCGCAGATTCACAATAGTCCTATAAAATAAAAATAGTCCTATGCTGTTGATTTAAGTGAGATGTCATTGATGTAAGACACGTTAAATCTTTCCCGGTCCTTTCATGGTGTTGGTGTTCAAATTTTCTGCCATTGTTTCAGAATGAATGAATGACCTTAGGCTTGTGAAGCCCTTTCAGATCTGAATAGATAAACCAAAAGTGCACAATACCACTTTTATTAAGCTCGAAGACTCACAAGAGACACATTATAAGGTTCAGTGTGTAGAATTTTGTAAACATAAAGTATTTAAATATAAAGGGCTGATTCTACGGTTGAGAAAACAACAATTTTTATAATTTATATGATTACACACAAGTGAAAACATCACTAGGATTATTTCATATTTAATTTCTGCCAATAGATTCCTTTCACCTAAATCTCACACACAGAAGCTTTAATAAAGAATTGGGCAAAGTTACATTTGAGTTCTGGGGTTTTCTGTGGATCATGTGCTGTGCAGCGTGAGTTCAACAAGCAGGAGCTCTTTTCCTCAAGTCGGAAAAATAAATCCCTGTCACAAATTTCAAACTTCTGCAGTCAGAGATGAAAAGTCTAAATTTGGAAATTAGCGAGACTCTCGAATAACACATGGCTGGAGGAGAAGAGGCATCAAGAAAAGACAAGTAAGGCTTTTGATGAAGGAAAGGAAAACACAAGAAACTTCAGTTCAACAGTTTCTGTCTAGACAGACTTCGTCTGAGACAGTGTGTGTAATGACTTCGTAAATATTTGTCTAAACATGAAAGTCTGATGCTCTAAATTCAATTTCTAACGTGTCCCTCCACTGAACCACAAATGTTAGAAAAAACTGACACATTAGAAGTTTCTTAGGTGGAAAAATGAGGATTATGAGTGAAAAGATAATATGAGTTAGGAGGAAAATCATTGTTTAACAATATGATTAGTGTTAAATTGAATTATTCCTTATTTAGATCCAGCCCCAACAGTCTATGAGCTGTTTCCCCAACCTTATATTTTATTTCATTGTTTCATTGCTGTTACTTTAAAATGTTTACATGCTCCAATGATAAAGCCCAGTGTTTGTCTGATTGGTGAACTGTAAAAAATGTTAACTGCCACCCTTGCATGACTTTGCTTGGCTGTGTCATGGGCCAGACTACATAGGCGAGCATTATGCAAAATTGGAAGATGTTTTCTGTGGATTTTTTCTTTTTGAACTCACACAGAAACCAGAAGAGAAAAGAAAAAATGCTAATCTCAAAAGAACAACTGTTCTAAGAGTGGCTGTTCCAGATCTACACAGAATCAAACAATGTGCAACACTGACATAAAGCAAAGACGGCTTCTAATAGTCTATTAACTGTTCCTCTTCGGTTATGACGTTCATGACAATAACATCACACTATCTGCAGCCAACCATTACTAATGATACAGTTTTATCTCACCTATATGCTCAACTTCACCTCAGCGTGCATCAACCAGATAAAGATGGAATTCCAATGTGTTGACACAATCTGGAGTCATACAAGGTTACTGCAGAGTTGCAAAGAGAAATCTTTTCAAAGGACGATTTAGAGAAGCTCCCTTTCAACTTGTTCTCCTGAATTGCCTCCATTACTGTTAATTGCATTTCTAGTCATGCATTAAGGAGTTACCAGCAGAGATTGTTGATAGTGATAGCAGCATGAGAGAAGATGAAGAGGAGGCACAGTGATCTTCTCCTAGTTTCATATTCAGGAATAAAACACGAGGTGGACCACCTTTCCAAGCTATAAATCAAGTTTTAATATCAAATCTGAAGCCAGTTTTAATGCAACACATTAACTACTCTGCCTGTATTTCTTTATCGTTTCCCATTTTGCACCAAATCTTCTACTACTTATTATATATATTCTCATAGAAACAGACCCTGGACGTCTGAATGAATCAATTTGAAACAAATTTGACTCCACCTGACTCAGAGGCTGTTCCCAACACAAAGGTCAGAACTTTTTGGGACCTTACCCTCAAGGTCCCCTCTATTAGAACCCTTGAATCAGAGAGACAGTCTCAAAGGTGTTGATTATTGGTGTATCGGTGGTTGGGCTCCTGTGACCAAGCATTTTATTGTGCGTCTAATCTCTTATGAGCTTGTGCAAGTGTTGTCTAACACAGTAAAATGTGTCATCAGCATAGAAAATAATGTTATTTTCATTTTCCCGACGTGTTTCATTCATTCTCAGTGTTTTTGTCTAAAATCTGATTGGCTCATGTCATTCCCAGATATGGATGCCAATTATGGCGGAGGACTGTTGGACATGGTGAAGGGAGGAGCAGGGAAGTTCTTCAGCAACTTCAAGGACAACCTGAAGGACACGCTGAAGGACACGTCCACCAAGGTCATGCATCAGGTTGCCACGTAAGTGAATCTTATATTCATACCTGCACTATAGCAAGGCAGCGACATATAGGACAGCAGAATAAGAGGTTTTGGATGTTTCAGTGGTGTCAAGACAAACTCTAGACAAACTCTGGTCCCTTTTTCTTCGCTGTACAAGCTGTGGCCCATGTCACACATGCCCCTAGGCCGGGGCACTGCATGTATGTGCTTACACAGATTGTAGCCTGGGGCAAGAATCATACAGCTTGTAGCCCGGGGCAGACTTATGTGTAGTTCAAAAACATTCACTGGTAATGTGCTTGCCTGTGTGGCACAAGTTGGAAAATGTGTAAAAGTCGAAAAGATCTAAACATGTCTGGTTCCCACAGCTCTGTGACGGGATGATTATGTCTGGGCTTGTTTTTTCCCTCTTTCATATAAAAAATACTGTGTTTTGACAATGGCCAGTTTAGATTTTCACCAAATAAGGACAAAATTATGACATTCCTAGAAGTTGAAGACCAGATTCCCACAATGTGAGTGTATCTACGACCCACATCTAAAAATCAAACACACACACAGCATAATGCTACCACTGTAAACAGATTTATCTTGCACAATCAACAACATTTAAAAACTTGGATGATATAATAGATTCAATGAATTGAAGACGTATATGAAGCCCCCTTTTTTTCTAATTATGTTGTATTTTCACTTTGCATTCTTTGCATCTGAAATGCCTTGATTGTTATGTGATTATTATGTAATTATACACTTCAGATTCTTGTAGAAAGATAATAATATATTGAAATATAAGCGATTTATTGTAATGAAAAAAACATCATGATAATATTTAATTATCATTGTTTTAATTTCATCAGAGTTGTATGAATGTACGTTTATTATACATTTGTCTGATAAACACTGAAGCGATTGCTACACTGTTGTTTCTGTTGTTGAATCTAAAGTAAGTCAGTGACAGATTTAGAAGGAGGCAGCAGAGTCTGGCACAGCTCGGTCGTCCCAGTGTGTTTGTGCACAGGCATCTGCACAGGGCAGCACAAAGGGGCCTCTGTGCTGTCAGACACACACACACACACACACACACACAGCTCCTCTCAGTATTGACTAAGCGAATTTGATGGTGATTATTCCTCTCTCGTGTCTCCCCTCCTCTGCTGCTGGCCAACTCCCACTCTCCTGTTGTTCCCTTGTACTTTCTGCCACCTCTCACTTCACCTCTCGTCTCGTCTCCTCTCCTCTCCCTCTATCGCAACTCTCCTTACTGAATTATTCAGGACGGTTCATTGCGCCAAACGGCCAGTGCACCGCTGATACCGAAGGATTCATTTCATCAGGGCCCTGTGTGTGTTTGTGTGGACTAAGTATGTATGTTTGAGTGGGTGGTTGGTATAATGAGGTGGTGGGAGGCAGGCTACTGTACTGACTGGCAGAAAACCTCAGAAAAGGAAGGTAGTAAGGCGGTACTATAATCATTTGCCACATTTTAGTGCACTTCATGCGTCATCAGTAACTATCCTCCAGTGTGTTGTTATACAAACAACGTTTCTTCGCTTTATTTAGAGACGACAGACAGAACGGTTTCCAGAACATGACGTTGTACTTTCCAGTTTATCGTCCAAAATAAATAAATCAGCATCTTGTGAACGGAGCTCTACCACTCACTATCTAGAATGTTGGATCTACAGAGCAGTTCTGAGCACGATGATAGGATTAAATAGATGTAGGGTTATAATCCTGTCTAATGACCGTCAGTGGTAAAGCCATCAGTTAATTAGAGAGACATAATAAAGGGATGGATGGCGTCGGGTGTTCACAGGATTTAATGATATTTAGGACACTATCGTCTTTGAGTTCTTGTCTGGAGGGAAACATTTTGTAAAACAAAAGTCGTGTGGACGGAAAATTCAGAAAAGATTTGCAGTAGTATAGACAAGGTGTAAGAAACTGAAAACGATGAAGTTACGCTCATTCACTTCTTGATTGGTTCTTATCAGTCACAACTCGACTTCCAGCAGTGAACGCAACATGGAATTACAGCTCCACCTTGTCATCTGTCGAAGTAAAGAAATCCACCTCAGCTGTTTATCATTTGTATTTTGTGCAACTGAGCAACCAAGCACACGTATGACCAGTGTACGCCAGCAGTCATTAGCTCCACCAAGGAGGACGATGCGTTTGCAGTTTGTTGCAGTATCACATTTATGATCAGGGGGTGGATCCAGGAATTATTTACACTTTTCTTGCGAGACAGGGCATCCTTTGTTGATTTCTCTGATGGATCTTGATGAGAAAAATCCGGCATGTTTAAGGGACTGATATTTATGAGTGTGTCCAATTTGGTCTTGATGGAAATGATCAGATTTAGTGAATTTAGATATGGTCTCCTGTGGGGACTGTTGTATTTTTAGTGTGATATTGTTTTCCAGAAGTGTTGATATGGAAAGAGGTGACTTATGATACAAAGCCAAAATCAGATTTTTGTTTACCTCATTCTCTAGAGCTGCACAGTTTGCAGCTTGAAGGTTTTCTGGCAGCTTCAGGTTGTGTATTTAAAGAGAAAGTTTCATACCTGTGTATCGGCTGAAACTGTTGGATCTCTTCATAAGGAATTCACATGAGCGTGCCTGATTTATGGTCAAAGCCCTGCGTGGTGTTAGGTGCTCCGTTATCACCCCGGTCCAATTCGATTGGCTCCTCTCTGCTTCATCTATATTCTAGGCAAAGATCTGTTGTTGAATTATTTAACACAGCCTGTTTGTTTATTTGTTTGTTTACCTGACTGAAGAGGGAAACCAATCAGGAAACAGGACTCACCATCGTGTTCGTCCGTCTGTGAGCGGTGGAGTCTGCTGGGCTGATATGGTGAAAGACACCGTGTCCTTGGTCTGTAACCAGACTGCCCCCCCCCCCACCACCACCTCCGACCCCTCCATCCTGTCAGACATGCATTTTTCTCTCTCTCCTTTCTGCGTTCTCTCTTTCCCTTTGTTTTCTTGCATCCATCCTCTCTCACTTACTTCCATTGTTTCTTGTTGGTGCTACATCTCTGTCTGTGTCCATCCTTTACAACGTCAGGTATTTCTTCTGGATGTGGATTCATGTAATCCAGATTAAACAAATCACGAATCAAGTCAACTGTTTTGGCCAAAAGAGAAAAGGTAAAATAAAGGATTGCGGAGAGAAGCACGCAGAGAATGTTCCTACCGGGATCTAACCCACTTACACTGTGAGTGTGTGTGTGTGTGTGTGTGTGTGGAGTCTCAGTTTGAGCACCTCTCATCTGATGTAATGGCCTAAATTGCCTTTTGTGCCCCTGATGTTTACTTTGCAGAATGAAAACACAAACATCATGCAGCGTGGTGCTTGAGCTGGTGGATAACTGTGTATGTGTCTGTGCTTAACACACTTTCAGTAAAAACTTGAATATAGCCATTGTCCTTTGGGGTTTTCACTAAATGCAATTGTGAATTTTTTTATTATTTAGATTACAAATATGGTGAAAAGCTGAGATACACCAAACAGTAGTTATCAAACAGTAATGAAGAAAAATAAATAAATAAATAAACAACCACGAACAACACAATGTTTGGTGACAGTTACAAAGTCATTCGATGAGAGATCACAAAGTGCTTTGCACTTCTGTCCATCCTGGGAGAGAAGATCCATCACATGTGGCTCTCTGAGGTGTCTACCTTATCTTTCCCCTGTTAAAAGGGTTTTCAGGTAGTTTACTCTTGTTGAGGGTTAAGGGCAGAGCATGGCACAGCTTGTTAAAGCCCTAAGAGACAAATTGTGATTTGTGAATATTGGCTATACAAATAAAATTCGATTGATTGATTGATTGATATTTTTAATATAAGATTGTAATTTTATTAGATTCTATATTGAGTGTAAACAGCATTTGATAACTGATTTACACAAATATAAAAAAAGGAAGAAAACTGCGGCAGATGCAGATTTTCTCTTTTTATACCTTGGCCATTGCACCGCACCTTGCAGCACATTTTAATTGGCTGCATCTCAATCCTCCAGAGGTCAGGAAGACTGCTTATTTGTATACTGCGAGGCCATTGGCCGTGAAAACGTAAACCTGACACCTGACCTGCTTCTTTCCTCTAATAGCTCAGTGCCTATTTCAGGAAACGGCAGGTAAATCACTGATTTACACAAAGCACGTCCGATATCTTCAGTCACATTCTTTCAAATACCTCAAAACATTTTTTAAATATACTTTAAAATGTTCTTGCAAGGAAAAATGTTTTTTAACCTCATCTATGGTCCAACTACTTCATTATGGAGGGAGTAGGAGGGAAGAGTTATGGCGGGTTTATGAAGTCACCACCTCTCACACTGACGGATTTAACAAAGTTTGGTTGCTATATTGTGTTTGTTTGTGTTTTTAATTCTAAGTTCCACAGAATGACAAACAAGTTTTTGAAAACTGAAGAAGCACAATTGCATTTTACATGAATTGTGGTCTTATTTGAATTTAGATGTAAAGCCCAACCCAAGAAGCTCTTAACCCGCTCTCACTCGAAAGCAGGCTAATAGTGTAGCCCTGCATTACACAACCAGCTCGAGGATTAGCCTACATCCGGGGCAATGCCACCGTTCCTTAACCACACGGAGATTACTCACTAGATCAACACTGCTTGGAGCATTTTCACAGTTGGTAACAAGTCAGCTCAATTTGATGCACATTAGCCGACTAATGTAGATTGCATGATAAGCTGCAGCACAGTGGGTAGCCGAGCCATTAGCTGCTATTGGGTGGAAATAATTTTTTAGAGAGAGAGAGAGCATATCTCCGCCAAGGCCCAAAAGTCAAGCTGCACCAAATTTCAGTGCCAAAATCGAATTTGTATCTTTGTGTCCGATCTTTCCAACAAGTTCTGTGGAAAACTGTTTGCGTAATCTTGCTGAAAATCAAACAAACATACAGGGGTTGAAAACAGCACCTCCTTGGTGGAGATACTAACTCAAATCAACTGTCCGGTTGTGAATCTGTAGCCCATGACAATAAATCCCACTCCCTCCCCTGCCTGCAGCTGCCCTGAAGTGCTTAATAAACACTGTTTTCCACATCTTTCAATGTGCAGCAGCAGTTGACGACTTGTTAGTACGCGTGCACTGCAGCCGCTCTCAGGAAACAGTCCATATGGAGGAGCTGCGTCTGGTAATGAAAGGCGACGCCGCTCAACCGAAGAATTCACATATGGTCGTTCTTTTGATCCTGCTGCAGCGCGGTGGGCCTGAAAAAACCTGACATCCCCCCACACACACGTGTGGAGGCTTCTGCTCTGAAGCCTGTTGAGTCTAATTTCGTGGAAACGCATAGCATGCAGCCTGATGCACTGACAGTGATGTGGAGAGATGGTTCAACTCTTTGGAGGCTGGACGTTCGTTTATTAATCTCTTTTCAACTGTCTGAAAAAATAGAGCATGTAACCCTAACCCCAATACACAACATTTAACACAATAGTACTCTTGGGTAATTTGTTGTTGTTTTTGTTTGTAAATGTGATATCATTTATCTGTTATAGTCTAACTGCATGAAATAAGTTGGTGAAATTCATCTTTAAATGGTTTTTTTCTCCCCCCCCCCAGGTACACTAAAGGGGAGCTGGACATTGCCTACATCACATCACGCATCATAGGTAACACATGTTTGTTGCTAATGCTAATGTACCAGGTGTGAGGTGTGTGTGAGTGTGAACAACATCCAAGACGACTTATTTTACATGTAGAAACACTCTGTAGATGAGAAAGAGAAAGTGCCTTGTATCTCTTATACATTAGGAAGTCAAATAAATCTAAAGCTGTTTCAGATATGCACTGAAGTCTGGACATTTTCCTGATATTTTCCTGAGTGGCGTTACGTGAGAATGCAAATGTCCGAGTCAGTTTTTCCGGACATTTTTGTGAACTTTTTTTCTTTTAAAGCATTTGTGAAAATTTCTGGAAAGTACTGGAGTGAGCCCACATGAGAAAACAGCAGAAAAAGATGAAGAAGAAACAAAATTAGAGAACTTTTCTTGATAATAAGAACCAATGCCAGTGTGGATGTACAAAAATACGTCAATATACGTCCTACAGCTTAAATGCTATGCCCAGACACTACCATTCATCTTAATTCGTCTGCGGACATTTTCATTTTGTTGTGTTCTTCATATGGGAAAGACCCAGACCCAACTCCCCTGACATTTCCCGTCATGTCTGAAAACGGCTTCAGGCGGTGAAGACATGTAGTCACATAAACAAAAACACAGATGTCCTCCATCTTTCCCGCTGTTCTTCTCGCATCATCAGATGACTTACAGCAGATCACAGAGTGAGGAGTGGCAGTGTGTCCTTTGGAGTCAGCTGTACATTTGTCACCTGAGGGCGTGTATCCCATCATGCTTTGTGTGGTGCAGGCACTGATAGTCATGCTTGAATGTTGACCTGCACGATGTGTGACCAACCTCTCGTATTTCAGTTTTAAATTCACCCCTTTACAGATCTGTAGTCAGCATTGTTAAAGTATCTCATCCAGTTTCTGAAATATAATATGTATTTGTTGCAGTGATGACATATCCAGCGGAGTCCGTACAGATCGGCTATCAGAACCACGTGGAGGACATCCGCTCCTTCCTCGACAGTCGCCATGCCGACCACTACACTGTTTTCAACCTATCGCAGCGCAACTACCGCGGCGCCAAATTCTCCAACAGGGTGAGTGTGACACTGGCTCAGATGAAGCCGTCACAGCTTTATCAGTCAGTACTTAGTTGTAGGCGGTCGTTGGATTATTTCAACTCACTGGTTATTTTTGGAGAGACAGTTTCTACATGTGCTCATAAACTATAAAAGCATCCAAAGTGGAGGAGGAAGTACATTTTACTAATACACTTAAATGTACTTATGTGTTAGTACATGTTGATCTGTTTGATTGTTGCAGTCTCTGTTTATCTTTACTGCACAGAAATCTGTAAATGGCAGAAGATCAGTCTGAGTCTCAGATTGTAGAGCAGACTACAATCTTTAGTCTGATTTCTGTGGTGTGCCCTCTACTGGAATCCTCCAGTAATGCATGTAGTACCTGAGCAAGTATGAGAACAATAACGTCTACAAAGCTACAGTTACCTACATGTGTGTGTGGTTAAACAGCAAGTACTCTGCAGGTCTAACGCAGCATCAACGCAGCATCCTCTGCGTCTTGGTGGTGACCTCGTCTCTTCACCAGTGATGCTGCTGCAGGCCCTCTTTGCCTCATTTAAGAAGGCGGGGTCTAATGTCGCCTTCCCGCTCTTACTGGATCAATGAACCACTTTTCCTCTTGTTATCAATTACTTTCATAAAAAAGAAAAACAGATGAAAAATGTACTAAAGTGCAGCATTGAAGTAAATGTACTCTGTTATCCCCCCTCCACTGATGCTCAGTTCTGTGCAAATGATGAATTCTCAGCTTCAATGCCCCGAGGTTATGAAGTTGATACGACCTCATTTATACATTCCTGGTCTGGATGACCAAATTAAATAAAAATAAAAATATCTATATTTATGTCAGAAGGATAAGATTGGGTTGAAGTCAGATGCCTTTCTCAAAAGCGTCTCTCTGTCTGTCACCATATACGATTTTTAACTGAAGCCCTGATGCAAACACAACCCCCCCCAAAAAAAATCTCCTCCCATTGAATATTTAATGTGAGTGACGTGTGAGCTGGAGGGATGTGTGCGTTCTCTGGGGCTGTAGCTAAAGCTGTGAGTGAATGATGATGATCGTTGTTGCTAGATTTATTTTAATCTTTAATCTACAAGTGATGGTGAACTCCAGTTGTTCAGTGTAGTTATCACGTAATTCTCAGAAGAAACTTCTCAGAATAAAACGAGAAAATCTGATAACAATTCCCTTCAGAAAAGTTTTATCTACTAAATCCATTTATCTACACCATGACAACAACATTCGTAGAATCCCTCCCTTTCCACCAATTTAGTAGTCAGAGTAAAACCACATTAGTTTTATTGCTGTTATGCTTTATATCCAGCTGAATTACAGAGAATTTTATTTTGAAAAGTTGAGGTGGACTCACTAATGACAAGGAATAATTCCGAAGTATCTCCGGAGGATCAGCACAGACCGAGAGGAGACAGGTTAAGCACAGTACAAGTTATTTTGTCTTTATCATTGTTACATATGCGTAAAGAGGCGCAGCATGTGACCCCAGTACCATCTCCCTCAGCACTTATGCACAGCTGGATTTAGATCCACGTGCAGGCACATGTGTAGATGTGAAGATTTCCACTGTTCAGACACTGCAGAGTCAAGCTGTGGAGTTAACATGGCTGGGTTGGCCCCCTGTCTGCCTGTGGAACTCACTTTATCTCCAGCAGATGACTCATCGTGGCAACTGGTGTGTTGTGTTCCTCCACTGCTGCGGTGTAGTTGCTAAAACCTCCACCTCTCCTCCGGATTCTTAACAACTTCTCCTCCTCGCTTCTTCTTTGCTCCATTTCTATTTCCATCTCATTTGCTCTCTGACTTGTCTTTGCCTTTCCCTGTCTTTCACCCCCCCCCCCTCTTTCCCTTTGCACCATCTCCTCTCCAGGTCTCGGAGTGTAATTGGCCGTCTCGCCAGGCTCCCAGCCTCCACAACCTATTTGCTGTGTGTAAGAACATGCACAACTGGCTCAAACAGAATCCCAAGAATGTGTGTGTCATCACCTGCTCAGTAAGTGTACGGCCCTTATCATGTTCATCCACGTCCTCAATTTAATTCTCCTGTGACCCATTTTTTGAGTCTATGCATGGTGTTGGAAATATGCTTACACCGGACAATGTCCTCAAGTCCCCCAGTGTCCCTTTCAACACACACTCAGTGATTCATTTTATCGACCTCACAGGTTTAATTGTCAGCTTGGCTTTTTAGATACAATTTTAGTAGACAGTTAAAACCTCACAGGGGAAAGAGGTTTTGACATAATAGAACATAATGATTGTACTGGGACAGTTTAAAATTAGAGTAGATGCTTATGAGTCATTAAATTAAATCATCAAGTTTTTCATCCAATGTTGTCAGGGTTCGAATGGGGGGTGACGTGAGAAGGGGAGGACCAAAACGCAGAAACTAAATAAGGTTTAACAAAAAGTGTATTTATTTAACAGGAATTCTACAGGAAAACAAAAGTCGCACTCAAAAAGAGGAGTGGAACACAGAACAGGGCAGGAAACAAACTTACGAGGAAACGTGACAAGAGCTGACGGGACACATGAACAGACAGAACCAGAATCTAGATGACGGACAGGACCAGACCAGCAATGACGAACCAACAACCACATGGGGGAAACACAAAGACTTATATACAGACTGGAACTAATGAGTAACTGGGGACAGGTGGCACAAGACAAACAGGTGAACCTGATGAGGGCAGGAAGTAAATGGGTGAAAACACACAGGTAGCAAGGACTACAAAATAAAACAGGAAGCACTGAACAAACTTATCAACYAYAACAAAATACAATAACCAAGACAGGGATGAACACAGGAGAGGCACAGGGTGGAGCACAGAGGAAGGCAGAAGGGAACATGAGAGGAACACTGAAAATACATAACTGTGACAAATGTAAGCAAAAACAAAACCTACCAGCTTTTCATCAGACTGCTACGATTGGTTGCAAATCCTGTGACGAGGACTCCAACTTTCTGACAAAAACTTTATAATTTTAGAGGTTTAGTGAACCATCTAAAACATCTGTTATATATTTAGTTCTCAAATTATCCAAAATGTTTCCAACAATGTTCGAGAGAAAACACACATTTTATTCATGTTAACATGCCGTCTCATTTTGGTCGCCTTTTAATTGGTGGTGAAGTGGTGAAGACAACAACTCCCATGATCCAATGCTGCTTCATAATGTCAAACTTGGTCTTTCCTCATTGTTTTGATTGAAAGACCCCTAGTGGCCTAACTTACACATTGTCCATTTCCTGCTCAGATACATTTTGGAAATGAAAACAAAATTTCCTCAGCAACCAAATGCACTTTTATTCCATCTGTGCTGACACACTACAGCATCGACATTGTCATGAGAATCGAGCTCGGCTCAATTCACCTCCTAAATACTTTGCTAGAAATGTTTTTCACTTAATCCACCAGCGAGACTTTGTTGTGATTCAGAGTCAGTACTGTACGGAGGAAGCTGTGGCCAAGTCGCTGTGGTTTCGCTGTTGCTTGGCAAACGGCTCCATCTTGCATAATCCTCTACAGACAGTTCCTTTCTGAAAAAGAAAAAAACTTTCACAAGAATGTTTTTGTCTCCCTGCAACCTGAAATGACCTCGAGTGAATTTCCTACAGTGAATGCTTTCAGTAAACACTATTTTCACAGACGTGTCCTTAAAGACTCATAGTTTAGAGACTTTTCCTGCCAAGCGGTTACTGTAGCAGCTTGTCTGTTAGCATGTGGATCGACAGCATTCATGGAGTGCGAGTCACCGCTCTGAGGCTTTATCTAAACATGTTCACTCTTGATGCGATGCCAGGATGTAACTTAAACTGGTGCAGAGGTTAACACGTATACCAGAAGAGATCAGTTTATGTTTCAACACGCACACAAGTTTGTTCATTTTGATCTGTTTTTCCAGGATGGTCGTGCTCTTTCGGGCGTTCTGGTCTGTGCCATGTTCTGCTTCTGCCACCTCTTCAACAACCCGGTTCCTGCCATGCAGCTGCTCAGCGCCAAGAGACCAGGATCGGGCCTCTGGCCTTCACACCGCAGGTTTGCATCCTCCAACACTAGAGAGAGAAAAGAGGGCAAGTGAAAGAAAGGAAGAAAAGAGGGAGAGTGTAGTTGCAGAGATAGCAGACACTGAAATTCAGCTTGGGAACTTCTCACCTTATAAACACTTTCTATTCTTTCCTATCAGTTAATTCACATTATAAACCATGATGTAAAGCAGACTCTAGAAAATTGGTTCTCAACATGTTTCAATTAGGATCAATTGTGGGAACAGAAACAAAGGCTGGTGAAGAGAAATTCAATAAAACACAAAACAGTCTCTGAAGAGAACTCAAACTCAGATAAAAACAAGGCAAACACATAGAAACATGAGAGAAAACACAGAGGACTCAGATCACACGGATCAAATACACAGAGGAGGCTGCAGAGATCATCTAAACACATGAGGTGCAGGTGTAGACGATCACAGGAGCGGCAAAAAATCAGGTAGGGAGTAAAGTGAGAGACTGAAGCAGGAAAAGAAGAACTCAAAGTGCAAACAAAGAAGTCTGAACAAAAGTCCATAAATCAAAACAAATCCAAAAAGTGTTTCCAAAAGGTCCAAACACAAGATTTTCAACCAGATAGAATCATGACAGCCCATTTAGAGGATGATGAACATTTTAGATTCTGGCATAACAGCAGAATTTGTGACCATGGGCTGTTACAGTTGATCAGCTAATCAAAATACATGTAGTAGTCAAACAGTGTGGCCGACAGTCACCAGTTTCCTCACTCTCAGCGTGAATCTCAGCCTGCGGAGCCGACATACCCTGAAGGACGGACATTTGTTTACCCTTTCAGCCAGTAGCTGTAGTATTTAAATATTAATGAAAGAATCTTATCATGAGTCAGAGTCTCAGTTGAAGTTCACAGAGAGTTTATGGAAATCGCAGCAAATAATTCGATTCTGGACAGAGCTCAAAGTCCTTAAATCCGTTTGGCTGCACTCAGGATGTTTCAACTGTTTTCTACCTGCTCTGCAGTAGTTTGTGAAAAACGATGCTGTCCCTGTCCCAATGCAGGTACATAGGTTATGTGTGTAGCATGGTGTCGGAGAAGCCCAGTCTGCCTCACTCTAAGCCGCTGGTGATCAAGGCCCTCACCATGAGTCCGGTCCCCTGCTTCAACAAGCAGCGCAGCGGCTGTCGGCCCTTCTGTGACGTCCTCCTGGGAGAGACAAAGATCTTCACCACTGCACAGGAGTATGAGAGGATGAGGTAGGGTCTCGATGTTCAGTGTAATGCAGTAGATGGTATATAAAGATGATAATATGATCATCAAGCCCCCTCTTTCTACTATCTGTGTCCCATGCTTCCTCGCAGAGAGCACAGAGTCCAAGAAGGGAAGGTGGTGTTCCCTCTGGGCGTAAGTGTGCAAGGAGACGTTGTGGTTTCTATCTATCATATGAGGTCGACCATTGGAGGACGTCTACAGGCCAAGGTACACATTTAGTCCTGCACTGTCCCAAATCCCAGTTTCATTTTGTAATAAAAATACAATCTTTTTTTCTTCCAAAACATCTGTCGATCCTCAGAAATGATCTCATGAATCCTGCAGTCTTCTAATTTAACTTTCAGTAAACTTTATTTGTCCTTCTCTTATCAGGTGTCCAACACCCAAATCTTCCAGATCCAGTTCCACACTGGCTTCATCGCTCCTGGAACCACCGTGTTAAAGTTTAACAAGTAAGGACATCTCTTCTGTTTAATCACTAGCACTGCAGAAAATGCTTTTAACTGTTTGAACTATCCTTTACATGTCTCTCCTCTCAGACCAGACCTGGATGCATGTGACTCTCCAGAGAAGTATCCCCAGCTGTTCCATGTGATACTGGATGTGGAGGTTGAGGGGGTGGACAAGCAAAAAGACCTGACACCACCGTGGGAGCAGTTCCCCTGTAAAGACCTGAGCCCCAACGTGCTTTTCTCCTGCCACCAGGAACACCAGGACGCGCTGGCTATTGCTGGTACTGTGGGGACGGGTGCACCGGGGCCAGATATGTGCACGCATTTGTTTAATCCATAGAATAGTAATGGTTGAGGTGGGAAGCTCAATGTGGAAGATGTGTACACTGAAGACAAAATATCACAGATTATATAATGAAGATAATACAGTATATGTAATAAAAATAAATGCAGTGACAAAGGTTAATATTTAGACTCTTAGACAAACTAACTCTTATTTTTGTTCCTACAAGATGAGATGGAGGGCTTGGATCTGGAGGGTAAGAGAGAAGAGGAGGCCACAGATCTGTTAGAGAAACTGTACAAGACATTAATTAACCAGGGGGCTTGGTTTTAATTCAATCAGATTATTAAGGTATTTTATTGAAATATGGATCCTGTTAATTGGTAATTCTTTACTTGGCTGATTCCATTTGTGATCTGCACTGATTGAATTGAAATTAAAGCCATACGTGTGTTACAGCAATATGTCATTTTGGTTGAAAATGTTACGCTCGTCGCTCTGGCATGACGACTCCTGGGACCTGAATAAATTACTGCAGTAGTTGAAGTAAATCCCTTAACACGTGTCCTACAACAGCAGACACATGTATTTGTTTCCTCCACATATCAAATTAAATGTTTTTGATAAATATTTGTGGATATGGAGAACTGGGAAAACCGACTCTCAAAAAATTGCTCTACCAAAGTGAAATATTGCTCTGAATTAATTCTATTAGCCGTATTTATCCCTTTTTTTGTCAGAAGCATTATGCATATTTTATAGATTCCTGTAAATAGATATTTGTGTTGTTGTTGACAATTTCTCCTCCAATTAGCTAAACGCAGCTATGGTCCCATTGGCAGACAGCAAAGTGTGCAGCTCTCAGTTTTAGGAGAATAGCTGGTGCTTGTAGCAGTGAAGCCTTTTATATTCTACTTCTCCCTTTTCCCCTCAAACCTTCTACGCCTCCTCCTCACGTCTCCATCTTGTCTCCTCATCCTGCAGAGCCGAGCCGGCCCCCCGGGGGTCCAGAGGGTCGAGGCCATGGTGAGGAAAGTGAGCCCTCTGATGACGAGATGCTGTCTCTCTCCAGTCAGCGGAGCAATGCCAGCGCAGCCCCCCAGAGACCTGACCCCCCTGCCCCCACGCCTGCAGCTCCTGCAAGTGAAGAAGTGGATCTCCTTGGCCTGGACGGGGAGGAGATGAACCGACTGTCCTGCGCTTCGTCTCAGCCACCGTGTGCCGCAGCCACCGACCTTCTAGGGGACTTGTTCGGGGCCCCGGCTCAGCCAACCAGTGGGGCTTCATCCGCCCAGTCCACACCGCATAAGGTCGTCCCCAACACTGCCTCGCCATGTCACTCTCCTGCACCACCAGGTGAGATGACGGGCTGCCTTAGATTTGTTCTTTGCTTTGTTCTTCATCTTATGGTTTTTTTTCATGATAAATGGATATTTGGTCAAACTGTCAGTTTATATTAAG